TCATAGAGGTAATAGTGTGTAAAATATAAAATAATAATAATAATAATAATAATAATAACAATAATAATAATAACAATAATAATAATAACAATAATAATAATCACAATAACAATAATAACAATAGCAATAGCAATAACAATAGCAATAGCAATAACAATAGCAATAGCAATAACAATAGCAATAGCAATAACAATAGCAATAGCAATAACAATAGCAATAGCAATAACAATAGCAATAGCAATAACAATAGCAATAGCAATAACAATAGCAATAGCAATAACAATAGCAATAGCAATAACAATAGCAATAGCAATAACAATAGCAATAGCAATAACAATAGCAATAGCAATAACAATAGCAATAGCAATAACAATAGCAATAGCAACAACAATAGCAATAACAATAACAATAATAATAACAATAACAATAACAACATTAATATTGTCATAACTCGACCAATTTCTTAATATTAAAATATAAAACAGTAAAGTAGCACAGGAAAGATTAAGAAAGAGCTGAGTAAAGCAAAACATTAAAATTAGGAAAGGAGCTCAAGGAAAAGTAATTAAGAAAGAATAAAGTGTAATGATACCGTTACTAACAGCCTCGCGGGCCGATCCGCCGCGCGCATCATGAGGCTCAGCGCCTATGGCGCCCCTAAGCTCCCACACCCGTGTCGCGGCCCCACCGTGGGGACGCCCCACCACGCGCCGAATCGCGTATCAAAGTACTACACGTATCGCGCCCGATCCTTATAATCACGAATAAGTGAAAAGTGTGCAGAATATCGTGAAATATACTAATTTATACCTAATGTCCGAGAGTGTCTTATTTCGAGCGTGGATCCGAATCCTTTGCGCGTTCAAATCCCAAACGACCTCTTCCTTAGCGGCTAGAGGCACAACATTAATATTTATAATTATTTTTATTGATATTTATATTGATAATATAATATAAATCAATATTATTAATTTCAAATAATCGCGGGCTAGTAAGAGTCAGAACGCGAATGGTAGTGTGTCGGTTTCATAGAAAAATAAGTTTTCTATGAAACTGAATATGTACACAGGGCACGAAATTTACTTGGTGCTATACCAAGATTTTAAAATTAATCTCAATTCGAGATTTACAATAACCCCTCTTTACCCCCCTGGAGAGACGAAGGCAAGAAAAATATCGTGGCGAAGTCGTTGAATCGGGAACCGAACCCGAGTCTTTCGCTTGCCGGACGACTGCTTTTACCTCTGAGCTTTTCAGACCCCACACTACCGATACTTCTCATTTGCCTTATAATATCTATTACTAATAACGCCATCTTTCACCCGGCGTGAACTAACAATTTTAAGAAATTAGGCTCTCGAGCGATATCACATATTTGATGCACTACCATCCGCGTTCTGGCTCAAAAAAAATATATTGTAAATAATTACAAACTTTTTCTTAAAAACAATTTTTTTTATATTAATTGATTTGTCTCATTATTCTGTACATAAAAGTATTACGGTAAGATTATCGAAAATAAATATTTTACGAGATATTTTATTCATTATATCAAAATATGTCAGATTTTAATATAAAATAACTCAAAAAGTACTTAATGAAAAAATACCTTATTATAGTTTTTTGAAAAGCTATCGAGATAAGCTATAAGAATATGCAATAAAAAAAGGGGGTTTCCATTCAAGAAATTAAAGGTGTCCTTGACTTGACCTTAACGATGCCATCCAAGGTCAAACCAATGACACCATCTTATGTTCCCCTCAAAACCATACAATTTTTGTTCAAAACGTTTTTCTCTAAAATGCTTAGTTTTTGAAAGAAAAGGGGTGTACGGGTGGTCTAGGACACCCTGTATATATACAGGATGTATCAGACCACCCGTGCCAGTCGAATATCTCGAAAACCAAGAACGGTAGACAAAAGTTGTAGGGTTTCAAGTAACGCATTACATAGTAATATTAGTACAAATTTGAATAGCGTTGTCAAGGTTACATAAAGGTCATCATAAATTTCTTAAACGGAACCCCCTATTTTTTATTACATATTCTTGTAGCTTATTTCGAGAGCTTTTCAAAACACTATAATAAAGTATTTTTTAAATCAATTAGTGTAAAGAAAAAAACAAATAATTGTTTAAAAAAATATATTGTAAATAATTACATACTTTTTCTTAAAAACAATTTTTTTTTTATACCAATTGATTTGCTTTATTATTCTGTACACAAAAGTATTACAGTAAAATTATCGAAAACTAAATATTTTACGAGATATTTTATATTATAGTGTTTTGAAAAGCTCTCGAGATAAGCTACAAGAACGTGCAATAAAAAATGGGGATTCGATTTAAGAAAACATCGATCACATTGACTTGGCCTTGAAAAAGTCACTCAAGGTCAAGCCCATGTTTTCATCATATGTCTCCCTGGAAACCATGCAACTTTTGTCTGAAAAATTTTTATCTATCGAGCTCATTTTTCAAGATAGTCACGTGGATTGATTAAAATGGTCCACCCTGTATACTGTATATACAGGGTGAGTTTTTTAACTTGAGACTGTAAAATATCTGTTAAAATAAGCATTGTACGAAAAAAATATTCCAAATAAACCCTCAATATTTTTGAGAGGGCAATTTCATCCCGCAAAAATTAGCCGCCTACCGCCCCCCCCCCCTGGGGGTGGGGCTGGGGGTAACTTTGAAATCTTAAATGGGAACCCCTACTTTTTATTGTAGATTCGGTTTCTACGTCCAAAAACACGCAAATTTTGTCTAAACCTTTTTTTCGATTCCTGATAAATGGCGCTGCATTCGGCAAAAATTGGTTAACCTTTGTTTTCTTCAAGGGGAATCCCCATGTTTTATTGCATAATGATGCTACGTTGAAGAAAAGTAACTTTTGTCTGAAACTCGTTTTTCGAATTATTGTAGATGTCTACGATAATTTTTTATCCGTTCTTAGCTTTACCCAAGATTAACGACGTGGACGTGACGGAAATTATAATCCCTTTGGGGTGCTTGTTTCTTATGAGTCTCATTTCAATTCAATAGTTGCTCGAACTGATGACCTTCAACTTTGATGCATTTATTGATCCGCACTTCAAATGATTATACACAACTTAAAAGTGTATTCGCTTCAATTTGTGCGCAAGCATTCCTGATTTGTTCAATCATGTTTTCACGAGTTGTTGACACTTGTTGATAAACTTTAGTATTTAAGCAACCCCACAAAAAGAAATCTGGCGACGTAAGATCTGGCGATCTGGCAGGCCAATGTACCGGATGCCACTTCTACCAATCCAGCGACCATTGTAGTCGCGATTTATTATCTCCCGTGCTACTACCGAATAATATGCTGGACAACCATTATGTTGAAACCACATGTTCCGTCGTTCTTGGAGGCTTAGGTTTTCAAGCAATGTCGGCAGTTTGTTCTGCAGAATGTTTCGGTATTGTTCACCGTTCAAAGTGCCTTTAATGAAATAGGGGCCTATGAGTTTGTCGCCAAATATTCCACAAACGTTAACAGACCAAGGACGCTGTTGTTCAACTTGGCGCAACCAGTGTGGGTTTTTCATACTCCAATAGTGCATGTTGTGTCGATTAACAGCACCGTGGTTCGTGAAAGTAGACTCGTCAGAGAACAGTACCCAACGAAATAAATCCGGGTTTCTTTGTATTTGTTCAAGTGCTCACTGACAAAACGTAACTCGATTATAGAAATCATCGCCATGAAGTTCCTGATGCATAGACACATAGGGATGATGTTTATGACGCTTTAATATTTTACAAACACTAATCTGAGACAATCCAGAATCGTGAGCTATTTCTCGAGTGCTCACATAGGGGTTATTAGCCACCGCAGCTAATACTACAGTAGGTGAGTGAGGTTCTAACCCACTTTTCTTTGGAAACTCCCTGTAAGAGTGAGAGAGTGAACATGCGGATAAAACGAGATAGAAAGATATCCGAAGCAGGCAGGTCGGGCAGGGGGCAAAAACAGGGGGTACGTATGGCGAGGGGGGAAGCGAGGTTGAGGGAGTCGGGGTCGCGGTGGTGAGAGGGCGAGGGGTACGGTGTGACGAAATCGGGGCGGGAGATCGCGTTATTGCATCAGGTGCGTCAAAGATGCGTCGTACGAGACGCGGTCGTCGCTTTATCTCCGACCCTGGGAGTCGCGATGACCCGTGACATGTAAATACAGAAAATTGAAAATAATTAGATAAGAAAATATCGCGGGCGAACCTCGGCGCGATACGAGACGCACTTGTCATTGTTATACGTACTGTATAGATCTATAAATAGATCGATGGATAGGTCGGCGTTGAGGTTATCGCTCGAATAGACGGAGGTCGAATAAAGAGAGGTTCTCGCAATAAAGGAAAACGTTTTTATTTTGTAACAGTACAGAGATACAAAGGCGCGCGTTATAATATAATATTAATAAATGCGTTGTATGGAGGGATGCGTTGTTTTAATATATTAGGATTATGCAGGCGTCGTTTTATCTCTATTCGATACCCGGCGCGCGGGGACCGGTGGTTCGCGATTTGTCATCTTTGCTACTATAAAAGGATTGCGACGATTTTAAAATATTAGTTTATCCTAAAATATTTTATCGAAGCGACGTACGCAATGAAGTATTCACCGAATGCTTTACCGACACTAGCCAGAAGAGTATTGAATACTCGTATTAGAAGTATCGAAGATATACGGGTATTAGAAATACCAAATTGTTTAAAGAACGAATTGCGCGAATATTACATAAAGGATTGTTTATACTGTAAAGAAAAAATAGATTTTGCCGAAGAATTCGTGCGAGAAACGAGCGTCGCGCCATTCGACGAACCCTTCGCGGACGTTGGAGCCCACTGCTATTTACTTTACCGCAATTGGAAGTAGCGATATGGCGTTCCGAAATTTTCGTGGGAGGTGAATCACGTTGTGCATTGTTTCTACAAGTTTGGTTGCGAATTCGATAACAAATACTATTTCGAGGAAGAAGAGAGTGAACGGTGTGCAACTGAACGGTGTGCAACTGACCGGTGTGCTACTGAACGGTGTCCAAATGAATTTTCTTCTGTATCCAAAAGCTACTGTGTCCAAAATTATTGTGTCCAAATGCGCTGTGTCCAATTGAGCCGTGTGCAAAGTTTCGTGTCCATTTGCAACATGTCTATTTGCACTGTGTCCAATTGTACTGTGTCCAAGTGCACCGCTCCCTAACATTCGACGACTACGCGCGCTGCCTGCGACGAGAGATCGAGATAACGCGCGAGCAGTCCTGCGTAAGGTCCAAGTTACACGAAGTGTACACGGTGTCGGAATCGAAGATCGCGCTCAATCCATATAACGACAAGCGATACGTTGTACCCGTAACTACGGATACTTTACCATGGGGGCATTATAGAATACCGTTGTAAAGCGAAAAATATCACATATTGTATCGAATATTGTATCGGAAATTGTAAT